CTGAAAACGAATTTTGCCTGGACGGAAACATACCTATAATACACAATCAGGCATTGAACTTTGAACAAACAGTCAATCATGACATGTTGAGAAATTAGAGAAAAAGCTTGGATTTCAGTTGCAGAGCGTCGTCATTTTCAAATCCGAGTCGCTTTTGAAATGAGTGTCACTGTGCAGTAGACGTTTCCGTCAAACAAAGTTTGCACAACGCCGGTTTCCTCTGTTATCGAGCCCACCTCGGCTGTGCCGTTGGCAGTGTCAACAGCACTGAAGAGGTCCCGGCGCCTCGCCACTCGGAAGAGCGGCGCGGAATGCGGCTCCCTGCAATCGGCGGTCAGTTAGCGCCCGTTAGTTTTTACATCTTATTGTAACCACGGTGACTATAAATAGTAACCACTAACCCCATGTAGAAATGTGCGACAAGTCGAGGTCGCATGCAGTAGGGTAGAAGCTGTTGGTCCCAGGACAGTTGGCGCCCTTGCCAAAATTTGTAATTCAGTGAAATGCATATTTTCCAGTTATCGAAACCAAAATCCCAAGCGCCGCCGTGAAGGGAGTGCCGTGAAACAGGGCGCCCCTCACTTGGACGCAGCGTCGTGGGCGTCGTGGGGCGGGAGGGGGCTGAAAGGGTCACCGTCCGTTTAGTCCTCCTCAGATTTGACCAGAGTCTTAAGTTGGCGACGAACGAAAGGGCGCTGTAAGCTGAACAAGATACCCTCAGTTGGCACTTAGCATGTGCCACTTGAGTGGGTTCTTTGACAAAGACAGACCTGCACGGTGCACCTAAATTTGTTGTTTTTGGGGTACCTATAAACTCAGTTCTGTTTGACATGCGCACCACCGGCAGCCGGAGGTGGCCGAGACGCCCGAGAGCCTTGAGTGGCCGCCGGCCGGCTCCAGTCGGCGCCGCGCGCCTGTCGCTGCAGGAGCGGCGGATGATCTTATCGGGGCGTCCGCCGGCGGTCGGTAAACATCCGTTTAGTCCTCGTGTATCAGCAGTGGTGCGTCCGGCCCCGGCCAGTCCGATTGTGACAGAGACATGGTGTGAACGTGCGGGTCGGCAGTCGAAGACTCGAGATTGCTGCTATTGGCAGATCGATCTGGTGGTCAAGTTCGCCCTTCGCCCTTCGCCTTCGGAGCGATGTCACCGCGAAGAGCTGTGCCCGATGTTACATCTTGATCTAGTCAGCCTGCTGGACCAACTGCTGTCGGCGCTGACGGAGGCCAGGACTGCCGCCGCCGCCGCCCGGTGTCGTCACTGCCAGCCCCGCCAGCCGCTCCGGCTGGTCACCTGTAACAGGTTGAGGTCGGGGAGCTCGGCTGATGGGCTGGATATCGGCATTATCGGTGAGAAGAGCACGTTGGACTTTGACATTATGTTGGAGTTTGACGGCGCCTTCCGCTGGACGACGCCGGGGGAGAAGCCGGCTGTCATCGAGCCGCAGTCGGCGCCACAGCTGTGGGCCCGGCCGACCGGCAATGCCGGCTTCGTGACGCTGCACTGGGTGCGAACAAAGCAATGCAGCCACGAGGAGTCGCTGGATACTCTGCCGGCCGACTCCTTCAGACATGTCAGCCACGATTTCTGCCAGTTCAGCAGCGGAAATATGGTGAGACCACCCCCTCCAGGGCCCGACGGTTACCGTCAGCTGAGGTCAGGAGACAAATGCGAAGGCACTGGCCCGTTCTCTACCTGCTTGTGCAAGGGTTGTGTGCACAAACTGTCTGTTTACGCACGGGTGCACGGGTGCACCTGGCGTGCACCAGTGGGCGCCGACCGGTTGGGAGGGCAGCGAGACGTCGACTCGAGACGTCGCGTCGCAAGGACGTGTTTTACCATTCACCCGGAGCCGGAGGAGGTCCGGAAGACCGCCGTGGTGGCGGCCCTGGCGGCGGCCGCCAGAGGCGCCCAGAGCCGACAGGCTACGCTTCATTGAAGCGGAGGGAACAACAACAAGACGTCGCATCTCGCTGTCACGATCAGACCTTCTCGCCGCCCCTTCTTCCGTCAGCTATCGTCAACCTGAAGTCCTGCTTTATCAAGCCGGCAGCGCTTTCTTTGGCTGCAGCTCAGAGGGCAGTTTCACCGACAGAAAAATAGCCGCCTACCGGAATTTTTTGTCTAAAGACCGCTTCACATACGGAGCGTAACTGGTTAAGCCCTATCTGCTTACGTGCCCATCGCGTTTACGCTCCGTATATAAAGCGGTCTTAAGTCAAAAAATTCCGGCAGACGGCAATTTTTCTGTTGGTAAAACTGGCTTCAGGACTCTCCGCCACTTGCTAGTACGTTATGGACGGGCGTCACGGATGGCGTCTAAGGGCTCCAGGGCCCAATCTTACCAAATGCCGTAAATGCGCATTCACGGCATTTGGTAACATTCAGAACTATTCCACATTCACTTATTCATTCGTTCAGGCAACATTCATAAATATTCACGCTATCGAACCCATTGGACAAGTAAATGAAAATGAAAAAGATATCTTTGATATCAGTGCCGTAAACTCCGGCCAGTACTGCCAAATCCTATTTACGGCATTGGTAAGAATGGGCCCTGGACTGGCTAGAGCAGCGCCTCGCTAACGGAGTGCTGTCCTGCTACTTCTACCCGGCCATCAACGTGGTGGCCGGTGGCGGAGCTGACCGCGGTCCAGCGGCGGGCCATCATATCCGCTCCCTTCGACTGGTGGGGGGGGGGGGCACTTGACACCCCTTCTGATGGCCTGCTGTGAGAAGTGGCAGTGATCCCTGAACACACTGCTGGAGGGCGGGACGGAGCCGCTCTCAGAGCGGCTCCGTCCGCTCTGAGAGGCTCCGTCTCAGACGGAGCTGTGGCTCCGTCTGAGACGTATGCTTCTCCGGCAGGCCATGTGTTGAACGGTATCAGGTTCCGCCCCACGGCTCCCTGCTGGGAGAACTGGTGGAGTTGCGCCATCCCCAGCCTGGCCCGCGCGGCCCCCTACCTGCACAAGATGTCGGGGACAACTTACCTGTACATACATACAGTGTACATGGCCTGGACCGTGGTGGACCTGGCGGACGGCGAGCCAGTGACGTCACCGGTCGGTGACGCCGTTACGCTCGACGTGACGCCGCTCACCCGGCTCCTCACCGAGTACAGGTAACAGCTGCGGCGGCCGCCGGCGGAGCGGCCGGCCGGCCTGAGCGTTTTCTTCGTATTTGTGTTAATGTGTTAATTGTAATGCTTATAATATACTTTTTGTGTGTTTTGAAGTGTGTTTCTTTTTTTTTTAATACATCCAGCATGCTTGAGTTTTTGATCGTACGGACATACATATAACGCGAAGTATGGGTTGTCGGTTGACTCAATGACAGCTGCCACTAAATATTTACTGTTAGCTTGGCCTATTTAAACGCCGTGGACGGAAAGATGTGTGGTATCAGCTGTTACCTGCTGTTAATGAATTACCCACGATCAAAAATGTATACGGGTAGTGGTTACGTACATGATACATTAGTTCTCACCCAGTCAGCATTTTACGTCCTAGTTTATACCTCAATCAAGTAACGTTCTAAGCCTGGAAACTGCATTTCGGTAGGTAGGTAATTTTTTGCGCAAGTACAACGAATAAAATGCGTACCAATCTCGCCCGGTGATAAGATTATCGAGACTTCAACTACCACTCATGACTCATTGTTGTCTTTTCCTTTTTTAGCTCGCGTTCGGTCTCGTTAAAAATCCAGGAAGAACATAGGCCCTTGAGATTTATTTATTTACAGTGGGCTCTTTCAGTAGGTATGGTGCCCGACATGAAGAATACGACAACATTGCTTCAATTACATGAAGAACGCTACGATTACGACGAAACGCGACCCAACAATAACCGCAGGTTTTTTGAAATAGACAAACACTATTCGTTAGAATTGTGTTTTTCTATTTATAGCGACATCACATCGGGACCGGCCGGGCTCCACCGACAGCCGGGCTGCACCGATAACGGGTGGGCCGGGCTGCACCGATAGCGCTGCTCCGAGCCGCCGCGACCGGCACAGGAAGGGCGACCTCCACCGCAGCTGCAGCCGGCAGGAAGGACGTCAGATAGGCAGTGGCACCGTCGAGTACAGAGTCGCAGCAGGATGGTGTGTTGAAACCGATGCCGGCTTGGGAGGGGGACGTGAGGGAATAGCCAGAGGAAATAGAGCACTGAGACATACATGAAAAGGACGGAACGAAACTGTGCGTAATAAAGTTGGCTCCCCGCTCCATTCGCTCGGCCAATGTCAGATAAATGATAACTAGGGGTCGGTGGGTCTGGGTCAGGCCACTGAAGAGGTCGGTGGGCTTGGATCAGGTCAGGTCACTTGGAGGTCAGTCAGTGGGTCCTGGGTCAGGTCAGGTCACTTGGGAGGTCGGTGGGTTTGGGTCAACCGTGAGGTCAGGTCACTCGGGAGTTCGGTTGGTCCGGATTAGAACATATTCAAGAAATACCTCTTTGAAAGCCCGAAGCGGAACGGTGCCTAGCATGACAAAACTAATAGCTGGCTAATAGCTGAACAACAAATAGAATCTCTGTTGCCGTGCAATTAAGTCGTAATCAGCACGCTGTACGTGGAAGGCTTGTGATGTTAATGCATGCATACATACATAAGTACATACATGCATATGCATATATACACATACATGATACATGCATGCATACATGTTCACTCTGAATCATTTTAAACGTATGAATGAGCTATTTCTGTTTAGTAGCTGTATTCTTGCAATGTTTTGGTAATTTGCTTCCATAACCTGCGCAGCCGCGACATTCATGAGCACACTGTCTATTCATTTTTGTAAGCGCCAAAGCAGTCGGAAAATTACCGCAGGCCATTGGCTATTATGTGCTATTGATAGCCTGTGCTTGCAGTTCATTGGTTTAAAGCTACGCAGTGACCGCTTCTAGCTGCTTTTGCTGTCGAATGAACATTTAAAGAACCAAACGTTTTCTTGTGGATATTCTCCCACGTGTTTCGATTGTCTGTGGAAATTTACATGTGATAAGTCGATTCCCACGATTCCCACTTCCCAATGGAAAATGTGCTCGATTTCTGAACCGGTTGTCGTCTGGAAGCAGTGAGAGCATGCTGTGTGTGTAGTTTTTATTCGCGATATTTGCATTCTGCCAACTAATGCTGAGGATTTCTGTCCTGAGCTCAGGTAAGGTAGGGAGCTTAGGTGAGCTTAAGGTAGGGATGTAGGATGAATAAGTTGAAGTAGACGAATAAGTCGGAAGTGTTTAAAATGTTGTTCACAATTACAAGCCTTTATTTATCGAGGGCTTAGATTTTTGAACCTTATTCAGGAGATCTGAAGTAGATACAGCTCTCGTCTCACTGTGTGTTTACATAGGAAGGTAGTTAGATACCTATTCTCTTTTTCATCAAAACTGAGAATTACTTGAGGGTTTTGGTATCAGTCAATTGAAACTGTTAGTAGGTAAATAGATTTGTAATGCCCCACCCTTTTGATAAGGTTTATAATTAAACAAGTAATTTGCCTAGTGTGGCAGGCGTCAACAATGAGAAAAAAGCAAAAGTTCGTTTGGGGGGTGAAAAGCTTTCATACATTGCCACCAAACTGGGTGGAAAATGTATATGATTATAAGCCTAACATAAGGACCACTGGTGCCTGGCTGCTGGTGCATCTCTGTGTTGTGATATCTGAGTGAGTGACAACATACATCTCGTTCGGAGTTGTGGAGGACGTAGAATCTTTGTCGTACGAGACTCTGATTCCGAATATGGGGGATAGTCTTTGAGCAATGAGCTATCCTTGTCTTTGTCCGGAAAAGGAATACCTACCTATCACATGGCACATCAACATAGTGAGACAAAGGCTGTACATAGCCAGTAAACAGCTATTAATTGCTGCCCTATTGCAAAAATAGAATAAACAAAACATCGGCAGTGTTATGACAAGTCATGGTGACTTAATTATTATTGTAATAATCTTACCCACTGGCTTTCTTTTTCAGAACAATTTGAGAATAAGCCACGTGCTGAGCCAGTCTAAGCCAGTCCTATTCCTGACGATCTGAATGCCCCCTGATGGCTACATACATTCATATATAGCCTCGTTCAGGTCTCCATCTGCAGCCTCTATCCAACCCCTCCACAATGGACGGGCAGAGCTTCTTTGACCTGTTGGAGGGCGCGGACGCGTGCCTCAATGAACCGGCGCCACCGCCACCTCCTCCAGCCGCGGAATGTCCTGGATGTCTGCGAAGTCAGCAGGTGAGGACATAGTGAGAAAGAGTGGTGCATGGGCTAGTTCAACCCCGCGTTCGATGTCTCTCGGACGACGAAGATTCTACGTCGTCCGGCCAATCCCGTTCAAGGTCAGCGGGGGCTCGGCTGCGGTTATGGAACGTGATTGGCCGGACGACGTAGAATTTTCGTCGTCCGAGAGACATCGAACGCGGGGTAAGAGTTAAGTAGCTAGTGTAAGATATTTGGGGCTGGTTGGTATCAAAGGATCCAAGATGAATAAGCCAACAGGTACGACAAGTCTGAGCTTGTGTTTTCTGGCATATTTTAATCATTTATAGGCAAATTGGGTGAGAGTGGCACAAGCCTCTCCCTTGGCCGGTCAGATAGGGTTAAAAGTTGGGTTGTGTGGTCGTATGGGGGATAAGGGCCGGGGCAATTGTCGAATTTTTCACCAGTCATTTGGGCTCTGTCAGTATATGTCTGTGCTGTTTTTATTTTCCACTGGTGGTACGAGTGTCTGAATTTGTAGGCATCCGGAAGTCGAATAATGCAGCCATTTTCCTGTTTTGTTTTTGAAACAAGCTGTTTGGACTGAAGTAATTTGCACGTCTACTGTCTGGTTTTACTCTAAGGCCCTCACCCACTGCGTTTTTCACAGGAGCTGTTCGAGCTCCGCTCTCAACTGAGAGCCATGGAGCTGATTAAGGAGAAAATCATCAAAACTGAGTAAGTTTCATTTCTAATCCCATTTTGTGCCCATTTTGTCACTTGTTCTGCTCTTTCCTATTTTTATTTACACTCGTTTGTTTACTGCTTCGTTCCATTTCATGGATTTTTCATTGGGTGGGCGTTTGGTTTTGTGTTTTCGTTTCTTTTCTTTAACGTAGCTCTGTGATTGACGTGGATTTCGTGGTTATTAGCAATGCCTTTTTTTTTAGAAGATTAGCATTTATTTGATCTACCGGTTCATTTATTTCCAGCTTGCATTGTGCTCACTTTGTCGAACTCAATTATCGTGAAATTAATTCTATTAATATCTATTAGCGACTAAGCGACGGTGCAAGCGTTCTAGCCACCCGATATCAACTAACTAGATTCGCTAATCTCTATCTCCCCCGCCCTGACCGTTCTTCCCATCCCTTTGTAGGGTGAAGATAGCGGCGGCTTAGAGCCGTGTGGGCGAGTGCTTTGTGTTCTTTAGTGTATTTGCAAGGTTGTGCAGTGTTGCGAATGTAGTGCGTTTTAAGGTTTGGTGCAATGTCTTGGTAGTGTGTTGTGTGTAGTAACGCTTAGTTAAACTGTGAAATGTGATGAAGTGATTAAGCTAGTTACGTGAAAACTTTTGCCGCTACAGTCAACTCCCCGCTCGTCATGTTTCCTGTCTGTAGTTTCGGTACTATATGCATATTTACTTTATATCGTATTTAATTTAGTAATCGTCCCGTGTAACCCCTGTTTTCTGTTTCCCCCTTAGTCAGCTGGTTGCCCTTCTCTTTTCCTCTCTAGTCAGCTGATCGGCCGCTACAGTCAGCTGTCCGCACGGCACCGCGAACAAACCAGACGTCTGGAGGAATCGTCACAGTTGGTAGCGCAGCTGCATCGAGACTGTAACAAACACGAGGCCGAGCTGGGGGCACAGCTACGTGAACTGAACGAACTCAGACAGGTGAGAGCTTGGGGTACAGCTACATGAACTGAACGAACTCAGGTGAGGGCTGGGGTACAGCTACATGAACTGAACGAACTCAGGTGAGGGCTGGGGCACAGCTACATGAACTGACGGAACTTAAGTGAGGGCTGGGGCATAGCTACGTGAACTGGACGAACTCAGGTGATAGCTAGGGGCACAGCTACATCAATTGAACAAGCTCAGGTGAGGGCTGGGGGCACAGCTACACGAACTGAACGAACTTAAGACAGATGAGAACAGCTTGCGTACAAAAGTATTAAGTATGGATCGCAAATGCTTGTAAGGCAAAGTTACGTCAGCAAATGTACGTAGGACGAAAGTACGTATCGCTAATGTACGTAAGGTATAAAGTACGTAGGTATGGACAGAAGCATAGGTTAGGTAAGGTTGGGTTTGGTCAGGTTTGGATAGATAGGGTTAGACCAGTTCAGGGCTGGCTTGTGTTAGGTCAAGTTAGGTCAGTTTGGGTTGTTTTTAACGATGCTCTTTTTTGTCCTGGTTACTTGATCGCCCACGTACTTTGCGTAAGCACATTTGCGTACGGTCTTTTACCCCACGCACTTTTGCGATACGTACTTTTGCCCGCGAATCGGTAAGGACTATAGGAGAGAAGGATATGGGTTAGGTAAATTGGATCTGATTGATGGGTTTATGGAGTGAATAAAATCACTGCTTTGAATATTAAGCAACTGGACATAGTAACTGGATATTTGCAGTCCAGTAGATCGGATAGATGGCGTTGAAGGTTGATGAGGGGAGCAATGGGGGCAATGATTGTAGGAATAATTGTAGGGTTGGATATAGAAAACATGGATTGATTATATGTTATCTTCATCTAGCTGAATTGGATTAAGATAATTGAACAGAAGAAAGATTAGATTGAAGGGATCGGAGAGTACAATTGACTCAGACAGCAGACTTATCAGCTATCGGGCTCACTTGGGTTTTCATTTTGGTGTCTATATTTCTTACTCTTATTACTGTGCTGTCACCTATCATCCATCTCACCAACCTCAGTTTCTCGTCCTCCCCGCGTGGTGGCGCTGCTGTCGCCGTGTCTGACATGTATTTCCCAGGATATATTGAGTGAAGGGTAGGACGAACTTTGGTAGGAATTTCTAGTATAACTACTAGAAAACCTACTATATGTGGTCGGGACTAGCAAAAAGTTTGCTGAAACTAGAATATGGTAGCGCTTATGGTTGGCAGTCATGACGCGCACGTGACATTCATTTCTTAAATAACAGGTTTTAGGGGTCGATTAGTGGGCAGATACATTCAATTAGCTATTAATAATTGATAATGCAAACATTCAAGAATCTACATCATTCAATTCTAGGCAAAATCACGCGGCGCTGCCAGGATTCGAACTCACGACCCTCGGATCCGTAGCCCGATACGCTACCGACTGCGTTACCGAGGACCGCGCCGACGATCGGAGAGGCGGATCGCGGGTGCTGGCGTGCAGAGAAATCTTTACCCTGTACGCCGTAGAAGATCGGCTGGGTTTCGTGAAAAATGGTAGAGGAATTGTCGAAAGAAAATTCATCGATCTATCATTTGAGACTAAGAACCATTGATTCCTTCAAAGGTTGACCGAGATATCGCTCACCGAAAACAGGCCATTTAACATGTAAACCCTATGGGCTGGTAGGAAATGTACGCCGTGGAGCAGCAGTGCTACCAACTAACTTCGGCGGGGGCCGGTATTTCCATCCTTCCACAGGAGGTGTCCGTGAAGACCCAGCAGCTGGACGCACTGATGTCGGAGATGACGGAATGCAGAGCCCAGCAGCAAGGCGCCGAAGCCGCCATGGTGAGGATATTTGAGGAGCGTCACAAACTATGGAGTGGTCCCTTAAAGGGACTATCCCACCTTCTAAAATGTTGTCAAAACCAGTTAAATTGTGCCCGACCTTATAGATTGGATGACCAGGAACACGGTTCTGGCATTTATTTTTCATTAAACATCTTAGGCTTCCCATACTCCAAACACAAACTTTCAAATATGTGACGTCACAGCCCAAAATTACCTCCTTCCCCAGGCCACATTACTGTCATAAAGCTGATTCTTTTTACTCTGTAGGCACCACAACAAAGTTCAGACCAAGTTTTAAGCGATTTTTCAACGAACAAACCCATTTAAATCAGAATGACTAGACGTGGTGACGTCACATTAACGGTCGCTCCATGTTGAAGATAGGGCCTTGTACAAGGCCCATTTTCAAATGAAGGGAACGAATTTCTTCAACACCAAGAGGCCGCAGGGGTTGCAACCTAGATAGATAGTGGTTTCTGAACCTCGCCGCAATCTTGGCTATCTCAACTCAAACCCCATGTTAAAGGTGGGATAGTCCCTTTAAGGCTGAAACAGACTCGTTCGGCGTTCAGGAAATCGCATGCGAGAGCCTATTCAAATACGTTATAATTCTTCCCGCAGCAATCGCATCCGGGAGGTGTGTGCGATTGATGCGAGCGTGCTTCCATGTATTTGAATAGGTTCTCACATGCGATTTCCTGACTGCGGAAAGAGTCTGTTTCAGGCTTTACTGAGGATGCGACGGGACAAGTTAATTAGACCTTCCAGTTCTGTCGGACTTTCCTAAGGGACCACTCCATAGTTTGGATCTTGAGGAAGTTAGGAAGAGCGGGGATGAGTTGGAATAGGGGATGAGGGGGGGGGGGGGCTCAGTACCACGGTACCACCATAGTGCTATGCTATATAGGACCTGAGAAGAAGAGAGCGCATGGGATGGATTGGTTATAAGGGGAGATGAGAGAATTAACGAGAGCTAATGAGTGTGCTTCCTCCAGCTTCTCGGCTTTTTTTAGCTCTGTAATTACAACCTTCGCTAATTCTGACCACGGATTGTACTCAATTCCAATCGCTTTCCGAACGCTTCATGCCCACTGTGAATAACGTAAGATAAAGTGTTGTTCACTGTCCGCGTACTAATTTGGCCTATATCCCTTCCACGTGAGATGAAGTATTGCTTAATGCTTACTATCCCCATACTAATTTATCCTCTTATATCCGTTGATGCAAAGTTTGCACCCCTTACCTAACACGTAGCACGCTACTTGCAGTAAATGCAGTCAAGTTCTGCCCTCTCCTTTCTGACTATTCATCTTTCTTTGTCTCGATAGATGCAATACAAGACGGCACTCCAAGAGCTGGAGAAAAGGATGGAGTCGGATCAGCAGGCAGCCAAGGAGAAAATAATCGCCGTTGAAGGTCAGTCCAAGGTCACCCGAGGTCACCGGAGGTTACTAGAACTCATTAGACGCAACGGAACCCTATAGGTCCCGCGAAGTTACCCCAAGGTCACAAGGATTTATGAGAGTTCAATGACATGAAGAGATATCTCCATCAGATTTGACATGCTAGCAAGGAAGACTAGCTGAGGTCATCTGAGGTCACCTGACTAGTGTAAGGTTGTTTGTAGGTAATCGATATCATATTCGGGTCAAAGCGAGGCTATTTGAGGTCAACCATTGACCTCTGACTAGTAGTGTACGAAGTTGTGTGTCTCAACCCAGGTCAAGTGTGCAAAGAAAGGCCAGTCTCGGGTCACCTCATCAGGTCGAGGTCACCTGGTGTCGCTGGAGGTCATTTGCTCAGTCCTAGGCCACCCAGCTAGTCCTGATTGGAGGTTGATTTGAGGTCATTTTGAAGCTGCTAGTACGAGATGTCCTTTCGGATTCGGAGCCTGAAGTTGATTTTCGTTTCATCGTATTGATTAGGAGCATTCCATTTTATTAGCGTTTGAATAACATCTGTCCAACCACACCCCATCTTCGAATTAAATCTCGTAAGAAAAACACGTAAAACAGCGCGTGATATACCCGTGCATGCAAGTTAACTTAGTTGCAGTCCTACAATAATCAGCAATGATTAGACCGCCGTCTTTCACGTGGTCACTTCCATACGGAACTTAAACAATACTAATGATGCGAAGCTATATGATTTTGGTACATTTTTCACGGGTGGTTTCTAGTCTACTGTCTTTATACAAAGGAAATAGTTTTTGTGTTTCCTCGTCCACACATGACCATTTGGCATATTTTGTAGTTCGGTAGATCGTCAGCACATCATATCTCCGGCTCAAGGTCACCTGCTTCCGCTCTTTCTCGCTATTTTCGGGTTATTTCCGGGTATTTCCGATTGTATTTCCGATGCATTTCCGGCTGGTTTCCGTTTTTTTGTTGGTTCGTTTTTTTCTGGTGTCTGGTTCATTCGGTTGCTTTCGCGTCGAAGTTGATGGCCGGGGGGGGGGGGGGGGAGGGGAGGGGGTAAAGCATTGGGGATAAGAGTGGATTTCTTTTACACCTTGGAATGGAGTGGCATTCTCAAAGCAGAATGTTTGACGGATATTTTGAGTTCCCGGTGGTTTTGCCATGTCATTTCTGGAATTATACTTTATTCCGCATCGGAAGCAATGCGATTGATTCAATATGTACTCTTGCTATTTGCATCATATTGGCAATGATCAGCCGGATTATATACATTTTTCTCTTCGTTATATTTCTTTACAGCTTTCCTCTTCAGTCTCAGGCCACATTCATTGGATACATCTCTGGTTGCGATGTTATATCAACTTATAAAAAAGCATGAACGTCATAGTCCATAAGTGCGCATTCCAAACGGTACTACTTACGTGTGATTCGAAAAAAAAAATGTATGAAAAAATACATGAGGGGCTTACAGTTCTCACGTACTTAAATTTTTTCATCATAGGTAGACATTTCAGAACATTTTTATTATATTATTCCCAGTAGTAATCTCGTTTCTACCACACCCAGATTTACACACCCAGACACACAGACACCCACACACACAAGCTTCTCGATATCGTTCTGACGGGGACACCTGTCCTCATCAGGACAATCAGAGGACATCTGTCCTATTTACACGGGCACCTCACGTGAGCAGAAGACATGCATATGCAAGTTCCCACCCCGCCTAGTATTCGCCACGTATTTAATACCCCCACTCGCCATAAATTGTCACTGTCTCTTGGGGTCTCTAAACTCCCACTGAATGTGTCTCACTCTCCACATCACTAACTCACTCACTCACTCACTCTCTATCTCTCTCATCAAGATGCGGGCTTTCGTTCTTCTCTCGCTTCTTTCTCTGGTTGCTTGTCAGACCACTGAAGGGCCCAACGAATGCGCTTGTGAGATTGTAGCTCCCGAAGTTGAAGATTACGTCGTCCTCTACAGCTTCTCCAGCGTCTGGGAGGATTCCTGTGATAACACGGGTGAAGAACTCTGCAGGAGGCAGTGCCGCGACAGCTCCAACGCCCTGGAGGAGAATGGTGGCTGGATGGCGCCGGCTTCAGAGGGAGACAGCATGACGATCGGTGACGTCGCCTGCGAGAATCTCGGCCGTGACGAAACTCTGGGGATCGAGTCTCAGCTGTACAGCTCTGTCTGTGACCTGCCGTACCACGAGGAGGGACACGGCATCAGGGACCTGCTCTGCTGCGAGGACGGACTGCAGGTGGAGTGTCTGGGACCCATCACCACCCTGCCGCCCATGCTGTAGGACCTGCCGAAGGACGTGCTGGAGAGGAGGATGGAGAAGAGGTTGAAGACGATGGTGGAAAATTCGATGTAAAACGGATGTTTTACACAAATAACGCGAACTAAAATACGATGCTGATGCTTATGTTGGCATTGATGTTGAAGGATCTGATGTAGTACGTGCCCTAAAAATATGTGAAATAATATGAAGTCGACACTGAAGAAGATATTGGATACAATGATGAAGGTATTGATGTCAAACACATCACATACGGCTGAAATATCACATGCCAAAGAGTCTGTTAGAGAACTTGCAATAAAACCTGACGTCGAACATGTGGAAAACAACGTTGGTAAAGGTGTCGAAGGGCTTTAAGAACCAGATGCTGATGAGTGTATGGTTTTACCTACCATCTAGGCAATGGTCCTTTTTGTCTTATATAGGCAAGTTAACTTAGGTTTTGGAAAGGTTCGAATTATTTGTGGTTATGCTTGTTTGAAGTGTTTCTCCTCCAATCTGCGTGGCAGAGTTGTTTGTAATAACATCACTTCTATGAAATGAATACAATCAATGAAAGAAAACTGAAGATGTGTTCTGAATTTCCTCATTTATTCGAAACAAATATGAATGACAGCTTTAGGCGATCTCGTTTTATGAATAAAGGTAAAAATGTTACCTTTGCCACGAATAGTTTCTTTCTGACCGACCGAGACGATATATTTTATAAAGACATAGACACTTAACCCTGACTCGTATTGGTGTTTTTACAGTTGCCAACGTATGGGGGGGAGGGGGTATGGGGGGTCTGTTGGACGTCCCTGCCGTTCGGTCCATGATGGAGCTAGAGCTTCGCGAAGAAAAAAAAACGAGCGTGTTGCCCGTGACGAGAGGAGGCCGATGATACCCAATTTTAAGGTCCTAAGTCATTGGTTGACCTTCCAGGTCAGGTCAATGACCCAAAAGTCGGGAAAATCGGACGTCCTAGAACTTCGTCATGTTTGGCTGTTTTTCGGGTGCTGATCACGAATTTCATGTTAGTTTTGATTACTGATGATGTCTTCAATCTTCATGCATCTAGGTCACGTGGAGTCAGGTCAGGTCAGGTCAAGCACTAGGCGTCTTGACGGCTATCCATAGTAGGCGTCAGCCACCACTGACAGCGTTCTAGCATGTTACGAAAGCACCGCAACTACTTTGTTAATGTTCAAATAGATGCTTAATTCCAAATCAGCTCCAAACAACTACCTTAGAAACATGTAAAACTCGAAAAAGTGAACCAAAGTCATCTTAGGTCAATGACCTTGGCGACCTGACCTTCTCGTGATCTTGACATCCTGCATAATGCATGGCACCAACAGCATTTCACATGTTTGAACGTGTACAAAATACAACCACAAAAAGTATGGAAACGCACGGGTATGTATTATAATGTGCGATGACTGCATGACATACGCCGAATCTCGATTCGGGCCCGACATGGTCTCCTGAAAGAGGTCATAGGTCAAAGGTCATTTGGGTCAGGGTCATGAAATTTTCAAGCTGGGTGTAAAATTAATCAACTCGAGGTTAGGGGAGAATGGGGCACATTCGTGCATGGGGCACATTCGTTTTCAGCAGTTTATGGGAACACGAGTGACTGCACGAGCTCAAGGTAAATTATGGAAATATGTCTATCATTGCCGCCCTTCGTTCACTGTAGAAGACAACACTGTACCTGCTGTCATGCTGGATAAAAACGCAAATTTGTAATATTCGTGAGCTTTCCAAACTTTTCTCATATCATCCATTTTCGTGATCCTGACTCGGAAATGTGGTTCAGCTTTTCAAAATTGGGGTCGAAGAAGCTCACTCTATTCACGGAACTGCTGCAAACTTGTTTGTTGAAAAAGTGTAATTTTTTCAACAAGAAATTTTGAAATATATTACAAATAGCGTTGTGGGGCAGGTTCGTGTACGCACTGCCTCGGGGCACATTCGTGCATATTTTTTTTAGTTTTTACGATTTGTGACTTTATCTGTGGTAGGTTTCACTAATGACGCTCGCCTGACTCAGTCTCGGCTGCTTGCGACGTCGTGACAAGTAATTCACGCGACCTTGGCGAGGTCACGGAGGCCGGCAGTTGGCACATTCTTGTAAGCCAGCCCATTCTTTCTACATATGTTGTGCAATGCATTCTTGTCGAAAGGAATCAAGTGAAATGACCCCCTGCCAATTTCTTTTGGTAAATTTCTGGTAATGCCCGGTAATTGCTCGAACTTTGCAGGGTGCACGGAAGTGCCCCATCCCTTGCACGAAAGTGCCCCATAGGTGGGGCAGTTTCGTGCAAACGTTCAGAGTTATTAAAAGTCATTTTTTCTAATAGAAGCAATAATTTTAGAGGAAAACATTCCAAGAGAAAAATTATCTGCAATAGTTCCTTTCCATACTACAATCAACAATTTTGCCGTTGCACTAACCAAAGAACAGATATATGGATTTATCCATTTTTTGCACGAATGTGCCCCACTCTCCCCTACTGAAAGCTTCGTCGCAATCGGCGGTTTTTGTGTAACTCATTTTCGAGAAACTGAGGGGAGGGGGTCCATCCGACCCCGCTTAAAGTGCGATGGTTAACCACCATAATGTATGACGATTTACGGTGTAGAATCATCGCTTATACAGCTTGCATACAACCTAGGCACCTGCGCTAATTCGCGGAACAGTGAATGCAGTCAGTCTAGGAATTGTTGAGTAAAGTAGAATAATGAAGTAATTTTTATGCTCAAGACTTTATCTTCAGTTTTGTTGCGATGCCCATTCAAAAAACTCTGGACAACATGAAGACGACGTAAAGGCACCTTGCCTCGCATTATACTGTACTCTCTTTGTTAATTCTAATAATGCGAGAAATTGAGGTTAGGTAGCGCCCTGGAAAAGCGGGAAACCAATTAATCCATTCAACACTCCAGCTGCTGAGTGCTGATAGTTTCAAATTGTTTATTTTTTTGTGTTTGTGGACAGCCTTGGAAGTTGTTTTCTTGTTGCCTACATATTTATTTGTGAAATTACGTTAAGTTTTTTGTTACAATATTTCCGTTATACTTTCACTTCGCTACTGGTGTGATTTATGAAAAGTGATTGTCTTTTTCATCCCATACTGAAAGGTATTGTTGGGAAAATTATATGTAGTGAGGATTCACGTAACTATTTTCATAAAATTAATTTCAATAATATTCGCAGAGCCATAGCAGCCGTCAATTTCCACAGACTCTCGTCGAATATTTAACATTTGTGGGACCGTTATCAGCCGCTGAATATTCCACCAAGGACGGTGTGAACTGTCCTTAAATTGTCAGCTGGCAGTTTCAGCTCATTGCTGGAGACGGGGGAAGGGGGGGGGGGGATCATTTACAGGTCAGCTTAAAAATATGTAAAAAAAATATATAAATAGGTTTTTCATTGAAGACTAGCATTTCATTATTAAATCGAGTTTCATAGCGGAGTATTGCTTTCTATTTGTCATTCTTGTTCGGATTTTTTTCTTACTTTAAATTATTCCAAAAGCTTAGCGATAGTAATTGCAGTTATCCCATTTCTATTGCGGCCCAACTCTATCCATCTTGGCTTCTTTTATGAGAATCGTTCCTTGCAATATTTGAGGGTGAAATATCACAAAGATTTCATTTCTGACATGTAACAATGCTGTGATCTGATATGCTCTCCGGGTACAGACGCGTCAATGTCACACCTAGCCATAAATCAGTGCAATTAGTTGATGCATGTATTCAAAGTGAAACGGTCTCTTCAACACCTGGCTAGGCGTTTTACTGTATGCAGTATGCCTGGCCTATTCAAATGCATTAGCTGGATAGTGTGGTGGAAACTGGTATCAACAAATTGACCACGGTCAAAAATGTTACACCAGGGCCTCGTTTCATAAAGCGAGTCCGTAACTTACGCCGGTTTTTTGGCCTTGTATTGCAAGCGCATGTGAAACGATAAATTTATTTTCCCTCTCTCTTCTCTTCTTGCTTGCAAAATAAATAAATTCAACGCCTCAAACTATCATCATCGCTTCACATGCACTTACAATACAAGACCAAAAACCGGCGTAAGTTACGGACTCGCTTTATGAAACGAGGTCCAGTTTGCACTCAGCTAACATTTTTGGTTGGCCCCGTTCAGTTTTCGGTCTCGTTCAGTATTATATTTGACCTCCAATCCGCACGTCATATTATTTTTCTTGTTTCTGGCGTATCCAAGCTATTTTTTTACCTTCCTCCAGCCTTGTTTCTTATAACCCGCGTGTAAGAGGATCGATTGACTCTTTGTGTCGGTTTTATACGCTTATTTTTGTGCAATAATCTGTATCATTTTAGACGTAGATACAATTAAAGACAAGTATTTAGCGTTAGTCATTTATTTCAATATTGCCAACAAAACAGCGTCAGATACTCTCGATGTCACTAGTGTCACAATATGTGGCATCTTTCTCTATTTACAGTACAGCTGTCATTATCACGATATTGGGCAATGGGCATGCTCTTCAACTCATCGTCAGCATTTTCTTTGTCATGTTCGACTTCCAGTTTTACAGCAAGCTTTCCATCACACTCGTCTGCATAAGCTGTTCAATTGATGTGCGGGTTCAAATTCTTGAACATTAAATTCAACATAACCTTCAGCGTTTAGCTTTTTTATTTGTGAACCGGCTATCTTACATCAAATCCTCCTACATCGTCTTCAACCTCTTCTCCATCCTCCTCTTCAGCACGTCCTTCGGCAGGTCCTACAGCATGGGCGGCAGGGTGGTGATGGGTCCCAGACACTCCACCTGCAGTCCGTCCTCGCAGCAGAGCAGGTCCCTGATGCCATGTCCCTCCTCGTGGTACGGCAGGTCACAGACGGAGCTGTACAGCTGAGACTCAATCCCCAGAGTTTCGTCACGTCCCAGGTTCTCACAGGCGACGTCACCGATCGTCATGTTGTCGCCCTCGGGAGCCAAGACCATCCAGCCGCCGTTCTCCTCCAGGGCGTTGGAGCTGTCGCGGCACTGCTTCCTGCAGAGTTCTTCGCCCTTGTGGTCGCAGGACCCCTCCCAGACGCTAGAGAAGCTGTAGAGGACGGTGAACTCCCTGTCGACGTTTGGAGTTCCGATCTCACAGGCACACTCATTAGGAGCGTCGGAAGTCTGCGAAGCAGCCAGAGCCAGGAGAGAAAGAACGACCACGGCACGCATATTGGTGGAGTGCGAGGAAGCGGAGGAAGCTTCAGTGGATGTTACGAGATCTGAGGAGACAATGGTGGCAATGCTGACGAGCGGTGATATTAAATATGGTAAACTGAGACCTCCAGGCACGGAGGTGCGGTGGGAAAAT